TCCTGTGGCCTTTACATGGTACACAGGGCTGAGGATGACTAAGAGCGGCGTGAAATTCCCTGTGCCATTCAGCCTTGCCAAGTTCCTCCTACACTGATTTCTCCCAGAGCCCCCGCCTCCAGGAACACCTTCCCTCCTCCCATATCTTTCTCATATCTCCAAATCCCCTGGACTTTGACTTGTTAATAACTTTGTCTGCTTTTTAAAATATATTAAAAATGATCGAACTATCTAAAGAGGCATTGTTCAACATGCTGACGACTACCACGCATGACTATTTTAAGTCAAAAATCCGGTTCTTTAGTCACTCTAGCCACAGGGCAAGTACTCAGTGGCCACACGTGGCTAATGGCTACCACACTAGCAATGCAGATGCAGGCAGACCCATTTCCCCAGACGGTTCTATTGGACAGACCTGGTCTGAAGGACACACAGAAGAAATGTGTCCCTCCTTTGTCTGTCCCCAGTCCTCCTCCCAGAGGCGATGCTACTGCCAGTCTCCTTTGTGTCCTTGCAGAGATTGTTCTTTATATCTAAACAAATGCGTGTGGAAGCAAACCTCTTTTACTAAAACAAATGAGAGAAGACCCTAAACACTATTTTACGCCATGCTTTCTTCACTGAATGGACTGTGGAGCTCACCATGTAAGTGCACAAATAGTTCACTGTTTTTTGTGTGTCCTCACAGCAACCCGCTGTCAGCAGGACAACTGCCACCACTCAAGCCCTGTAACCACACTTCTTGTCCTGCGTCCCCTTGGTGGCGCCCTGCTCTCTTCCCTCATGAACACTTCCCTCCAATTCCCAGGCTCCTCATCCTCAGTCTCTTTTCTGACTCTTCCCCTCACCTCTTGGCCTGACAAAACCTGGTTGTTCTCTGAGGAAGCTGCCTTGCCTACCTCTGACGTGGATGCTGTGTCTCCTCTCTCGTGCACATTCTCAAAGCCTGTCTTCCCCCAGGTGAATTCCAAACCAGTTTCTCTGGCTTCCTCCCTCAGTAGTCCCAGTTACCCACAGACTAAACCACCCACGACACCTCCCTGTCACTGCCCCCAACCCCTGGCCTGTCTCCTTCATTCACTGAGGACATCAGCAACTGCTTTACTCCCTTCATCTCCTTCGTAAATCATACAAACATTCCCTCAAACCCACGTGGACCACCCAGCCAATGCCAGGCCTCACACATGTGCCTGACCTTTGGTCCTCACCCTACCTCAGCTACCTACTCCTACCCTAAAGCCACACAAATAAAGAAAGCGCCTGTGAAGTCCTGTTTTTTAGCATGCTACTCTCACATTAGCATCCCACGTCAACACCTGTCGAGCTAAGCCAGACTTCTAGTCCATGATGACCATTCATTAACCTTGCCATCGCCCTCCCATTCCTCTTCACACATTCTGAATATTCTAGTATGTTCCTAGATCCTTCCCTTACAAACAAACTGGACTCCCTTGCCCCCTTTCTAGTTTACTCACCTGTTCAAACCCCTGACCATGCATAAACCTGGTTCACCTTCTCCACACATATTCCCTACAAGAAGGTGATTAATCAAATTTGGAGCTTTTAAAAATAAAAAATTAGTTGGTAGGGTCACACAATGGAGCAACTGCTATAGAAAATGGCATGAGGGTCCTCAAAAAATTAAAGCTAGTGCTACCATATGACCCAACAATCCCACTTCTGGGTCTATATCCAAAAGAATAGAAAGCTGGGTCATGAAGAGATATTTGCACACCCTTGTTAGTAGTGGCGTCCGCCATAACAGCTGTGGTGGTAGCAACCCAAATGTCTAACAGCCAATGAATGGATATACAAAATGTGGAATATGCATACACTGGAATATTATACAGCCTTAAAATGGGAAGAAATTCTGAAATATGCTACAATATGGATAAACCTTGAGGATGTTAAGCTGAGCAAAATAAGCCAGTCACAAACCAGCAAATGCTATGCGATCCTACTGACACGAGTTATCTAGAGCCGTCAAGTTCCTAGAAACAGACAGTCAAACTCTGGCTGCCGGAGGTGGGGGAAGGGTAAAAGGGAGTTGTTTAATGAGTGCAGAGTTTTAGTTTTGCAAGATGAGAAAGTTCTGGAGATCTGTTCACAACAACAAGAATATACTTAACACCACTAAACCATACCCTTAGAATGTGTGAGATGGTGGATTTAATGTGATGTGTTTTTTCACCACAGTAACGAAGCACAGAACAGAACAGAGCTGAACTACTGGCTGGGCTGCTCTGGCAGCGCTGAAGCCACACCCTCTTCCCATGAGCACTGAGCGCCCACATGGCCCCCCTGCAAGTGCCTGGCAGGGCTGAAGGAGCTGCCTACCCTCATTGCACTGGCAAGTCCAAGCTCAACATTCATCCTGAACCTTAGAATCAAAGTAGGAAAAATTAGAAGAATTAACTAGGAATCAGTTGAGTATTTCCCTATTCTCCCAAATATTATTTTCTAGCAAGTAACTGAAAACCAGTAGCCTTTCTAGCTCTGCCTCTCATAATTCATTCATGCTCATTAGTATGCCAACATCAGTTTCTCAGCTGGCAGTGATTTCATGAATTTTTAATTTCCATGCAATGAGGCAGAGATTAAAACTTTAAACTAAAACCAACAGTAGGGGATTATGAGTGTCATTTTAAGCCCTAGATTAAGAATCTCTGAATGAATTCACTGGCACCAGCACATTAACTATTATCTGAGAATTACTGAAACAACTCCTCTGAATTTTTACTTCTGGGGCATTAATATATACAGTTCTTACAAAGTACCTGCTTTGGGATCATTAAAAACAGTGAAACCAAAGACATTTCTTGTTATCAATCTTAATCTGGGGAAAGCTCCAGGCCACCTGGCAACTGCTCACAGAGATCCTGACACTATAGAAAAGCCACGATAACATGAGGCTTTGTGACTAACGCGTAAGAAACTCAATTCAGCAAAAATAAAATCAGACTTAAAGTAAGCAAAGTAGAGGAGAGAAACTGAGAAACAATGAACTCAATTCCTTCTGGAATTGCACATCAAATTCTGGATTATTAATTCTAAAATAAGAAAAGGCAGAGAAGACAGCTTTCTCTTTTGAGGGCAAGGCCCCCATGAAAATATAAGCCACATATGCAATTTTAAATTTCTTTAGCCACATTAAAAATGTAAACAGGCAAAAAAAGTAAACAGAAGCAAGTAAAATTAATTTTAGAAGTTTATTTAACCCGGTATATCCAAAATAGTCTCATATCAAATTATAATCCATAGTTTAAAAATTATTAATGAAGTGTTTACATGCTTTTTTTCTTTCCACATCTTTGGAGTGTGGAATACACTTTTCACTTAGAACACCTCTTAGCACCCGCCATGGGTAAGTGCTGAAACAGCCACTCGTGCGGACCATCTGGGACAGTGTGACTGCAGAACCGAAGAACTGACGTTCTTCTGACAGGACAGGGACTCGTCCTTGAGACCTGAGCATATCTTAGGTTGTGCTCTCTAGATTGTTCTCACATAATCCTCGAACCGCAGCCACAACAGCCGGGGTGGGGGCATCAGCTTCTCCTTTGGCTAGACTGGTGTTATTAGTTCAACGCCGGTCATCAGGCACCAACATTTGGAATTTTACAAAATAAGTTCACTACTAGTATTTTCTTAATTTTTTCAACCACAAAGTGACTCCCTTTTTTCAAAATTAACCTTATCCTAAATAATGTCATCTGTGATATTACAAATTTTTATACTGTAATTTTTATAGTTTACTTGTTCAAAAAGCTAACGTGCATTACAATAAATATTTAACACTTAAAAGAAGTTTTGTGCTCTACCTAAAGCCAAGAATTAACTAAACTGAAATTCATATTCATTCTCATTGGTGAATCAATTACGGTGTCATCTTTCAAAAGCTTTCTGTGTGGCGCATGAAATGTGAGACACGTTACTCCCTGAGTCCCCGACACCCAACATCTCTATGTGTGAGAATGGCACAGGCCCCTCCCAAGAGTCCCCTGTGTCTGGGAACCATCACCATCCCACCACAAATGCACGGGGCGTTTATTCCTTTGTATTCAACTGTGCAGGGGCTGCAGAGGTGGGGTAATGCTCTTGCCCTAATGACCAGTGGTGGCTCAGTCCTAGGGGAGTCCCCTTAATAATTAATAAGCATAGCAGCTACGATTTACTGAACTACATGCCAAACATTGCTCCAAAGTGTGTGTGTGTGTGTGCCCGGGCGCGCATATCAAATCGTGACGATTATACCTCACTTCTATAATTGTCATAATAACCCTAACAAAGGAAGTGTTGTTTTTCTGCTTTTCCAGTCAAGGTAACAAGGCGCAGAGCAGTTCGTAGCTTCCCAGAGGCAGAGATAATAAATGGGGAAGCTGAGATTCAAAGCCAAGAAACATCACTCTGGAACCTCTGCTGTTATCACTCCGAGGTTCACAAATGAAATAGAGATGAAAGTTGGAAAAGACACATGCTTCATGGTCACAGACACAAATCCCTCAAAGACAAAAGCATTCCCCCACAGGGCGTGGGGAGTGAGGCCAGCAATACCCTCTGATACAGAGAGGATGGTGCAAGTGGAATAATTTATAACGCCCTCAAGATGTCTTCCGGAAATTCCACCGCAAAACTCCTCTTGCTCAGAAATAAAGAAAAAAGTATGAAAATTCAAGGGAACAATGATCCCAAAACCACAAAGCTTAAGAGGATGGAAGGATGAATGGACAGAAGGATAAAAAGGCAACTGAGCATAAAAATGTTTACTCCAGACTCAAAAGCAGAGAACAGAGAGTGTTATAAAGGAACATTCATCTCTTTGACCACTGTGGAAGGAAATGGCTGATAATGACCCCAGCTAGCCATTCTCAAAGGCAATTTGGGAACCTCTTTCTTGTCACTGGGACCAAAGCTGCAGAGTAAGCTGTGCTGACAACCTAATTATGCGGCCTTCATTTGCAAGGGTTCTGCGGCCTGGAAGCAGGTAAAAATCCACTTACATGTATTCCCTATGGGCAGAGTGCACAGCGGCCGCGTTGCTGTAACGCCACAGGACAATCGCCGAAGACAGGACATCGAGGATGGCATCAAACTAGGAGAAGGAGACATGGCATTAGCGGATTTTCAGAGTTAAGACACAAGGCAATGATTCTGTGCCACGGAACATCTGAGCAAGTGACCTCAGAGCAAAGAGGGTTTGCATCGTTGTGATGTGAGCCATTCCTCCTCCTCAAGGTAGGTCCTGGGGACCTGGAGCCCAGGGCACCCCACGTGCCAGGTCCTCCTTCTCCCAGTCACACTGCTCCCGTGGCCTGGGACACCACACTCTCCCAGGTGCTGGGTCTGCTCCCGGGCCAGTGGCTCCCAACACTCTGGAGACATGGGGGGATTACACTGTTCTAACACGTACGAAATTGGTTTTCCCACAGTGAGCAAGATCATTTCAGCATTTAACTGTGTATCTCAAGTAAAAGATTTGGGGTGAAGAATCTGTTCCTGGCTTTCAATGGGATTGTTCTACCTGGGGTGCAGGGTGAGGGTGATCACCTGGGAGCTCTGCAAACACTTTAAAATTGTATACAAAATTCATTCCCTTTGTATGAATGAATGATGTGTTGGGGGAGGGGGCAGAGGGAGGGAAGCAGGGAAAGAGAGGGGAATGTGAAAGAGAGAGAGAGAGTGTGTATGTGTGGTGTGCATTTTTCCGGAGAGACAGTCCACTCCTTCAAAAGTTTCTGAAAAATATCTGCAATGCCCAAAACATTAAGTTTTCACAACGAAAGGAAAAAGCGGGTTTGGGAACAGAAACCCATACCCTTAGGTACAGGAAACCCTAAAGCTACAAAGGAGTATTTACAAGAACTCTGTATGAGCAGTTTTGCCACACCCCACTTGTCATCTGGAAAACTACAAGCTTCGGGGGATGTGGGGAAGCTTCACCCAAGTTTTCAACATGCTTAGCCTGCAGAACATCTGAGTCCAGGTTTCTCTAACCGACTCCCATCGGGGAGCAGGCTGGGAACCAGGCTCCCGCAGGCAGGCTACAGACTGGCTCAGCCCCGCGCAGCAGCCCCACCCTTAACTCCCCACATCTCTGCCTGCACCAGCGAAGGCTCACCCCGGGGTGTGCCCATGGTCAAACCCATAGCCCTGAGGGGCAAATAAGGGCTAAAACCCTAAAACATCCTCACAATCGGTGTGGGAAATGTGGTCCCCTCATCTGTTCCTGAGAATTACACAGCACCACTGCAGTTTACTTCGAGCAAATTCTAATTTCCTGCAGAATCAATTTCTATAAAAGTAGGTTTGTCATGCTAAGCTCTCATCTGTGAACCACCCTCTTCTTGCTGAGAGCCCAGGGTGAGATTTGTGGGCTCAGGAAAAACGTGCAAAACTTCATAAAAGTACATTTCAGGTTACTTACTGCAAACCCAAAAGCAGAGGCGCTGTACCTCATAACGGAGACAGCTAAAAAGAAAGAAAATATTATTCAGAATATTTTAAGATCTCACATATATTCTCTCTCATTTGTGAGTATATTAATTTATTTGATATTCCCTTTTAAACATCAATGGAAAGTTTCCAAGAGAATAAGGTTAAAAATTAACTGCAGTTGTAAACTCTGAGAATAAAACAACACAGAGTGAAAAGAAGATTCCAGGCTCCACCTGCAACAACTTCCCTTTGAGGCATGTTCTGAGCACCAAGGGGCCAGTTTCGGAATGAAGACGCTTAAGCAGTTGTCAGCCAAACGACCGCTGAGATTTCATAATTTAGCAACTGGGAGCAGAGAGCCAGAAACTATATTAAACTTTCACAGTACAAGTGCAATCACCCAAACTGCTCCCATAAAGAAGCAATTAGTGGCATCTGTACGCACATGCATTACTAACAGAGCTGAAAAAGATCTCTAGCCCATCAGAGCTTAAAATTAGTGTAGACCTCAATAAAACTGTTCAGAAAAACAGTAACAAATGATCTTAAACAATAACCATCCACAAATGCAGATGTAACAATTATAATTAAAACATTCATCCATATTCAAAAATCTACCTTTGGGGGATAAGGCAAGTAGATAGCACTTTTGCCTAATTCTGTAATCTGTTCTATGCCAAAGCAATGTCCAGCTTCAAAGACTGTTCTCAATTTATCTTAACAAAGTCAGTTCTCCACAGTTAACAAGCATACATCCACCCTCGCACAAAAAATGAAGCCCTACACGATGGGTCAGTAAAGCTTTGGAGTGGATTGTTCTGGGCACAGGTGTTTCAAACGCTCGTTCATACAGTGTGAGAGGCATGGGCTTGGGGTAAGGAGGTCAACGCTGCACTCAGATCACCACCTGTCCCTTCTCAGGGTCAAGGACCTGCCCTCTGTCCTTTCCATAGGTCCAGAAATGGACCCTGGATGGCTCTGTTTTTCTTTATAATCCATCCCCAGCCACAAGGGTCACACGACCCAGTGTGAAGCAAGCATGTTTCATTTGCTGTGAACTAGGAATTGAGTCTGAGAGAGTCTAGCTGGTTAATTTATGTAGTTGGAATAAAAAATTGCAATCACTGGAGCTAGTGCTGGCCATGGTTTGCTATAAAGACTGAGGAGCAGAGAGATAAGCATGGGGTAAACACAGTTCTGGGGTAGAAAGATCCTCTGGCTTCCTAAAGTATCCAAGACCTTCGGAGACTCAGCCACAGCCCAAGCTTCAGGCTGTGTAACGCAATCAATTAAATGCCTGACCCTCTTTGTTTTGACATGGGCTGCTCTGGTGTTCCCCGCCAATGCCCTTACTGGTATAGAGAGAAGGGCAGAGCCAAGTGTGTGCACAGTCCATGGCAGCTGTCACAGGCAAGGCAACAGAGATGTGCAGTGCAAAGGGGCACTGGACCTTCCTGAAGAACTCAACTCACCTGCCATGTTGGTGTGTGCAAAAAAGGCAGCAAATCCCTGAAGGGGTCACTCTGGACACCAAGATGCCCCATAGGACATGGAGCATGCCTTGCAGTAAGTACCCAGTAACTGTGAATTAAACTGGTAATTGACTTTTACGAAACCGGTCTAAATGAGTATGTGGTTTTTCCTTTACAACCTGTTTTTAGATTATCTCAGCTCTTTGCTTTTCATGGGCTACTTTTCATTAGTAGTGGAAACCTTCTGAACTCCTACTAACACCTTGTCAGATGCTCAAAATGCACAACAGACCAGAAAGAGATGCCCAGCTGGAGCTCCTGCTCTGCTCCGACCTGCACTGTTTGGCCTGGCACCACTGCATGGAAGGCACAGCCCGAAAAGCACACTACTCATAGTCACAGAAGACTGCCTGTTCTCCAAGCAGTAAGCCATTACTTTAAAAACTTTTCATTGACACTTCTGACCAAGATGGAGGCATAGGTAGACACACTGTGCCTCCTTATACAACCAAAATTAAGGACAACAAAAATTTAGAAACACAAAACAACGAGAACTGACAGAAAATTGAACTGTAGAGAAGTCCAACAACCATTCATCTGGACCAGTAAGAGGGGTGGAGTCAGTGGCGGGCAAAGAGGGGTTATGGGAGGAAAAAGCAGTGGCTGGCAGACCCGGGTGCGCAGTTGGCAGCTGGCAGACCCCAGGAGCGAAGAGACAATGAGCAGACCCAGTGAGGTGCACAAAGCGGGTGGCTAACTGTGGTCACACATTCACATGCAGATAAACCAGGGGAAAATGGTCAACAAGACAAACCGTACAACCCAGGGCCCCAGCGCTGGGAAATAAAGCCTAAAAGCACCAGTTGAAAACACTTGTAGGGGTTGAGGTGCCGGGAGAGACTCCCAGCCTCACAGGAGAGTTCACTGGAGAGACCCACAGGGTCCTAGAACATACACAAGCCCACCCACCTGGGAACCAGCACCAGAAGGGCCCAATTTGCTTTCAGGAAGCAGCAGGAGGGACCAAAATCCAAGGGAGAGCAGAGCAAGCGCCATTATTCCCTCTCTGACCCTGCCCCCACATACAGCATCACAACCCAGCAACTGGGTTGACCCGCCCTGGTAAACACCTACGGCTCTGCCCCTCACTACACAACAGGCACAGTCACACCAAAAAAAAAAAAAGGTTCAAATGGAAGAACAGATCAAAGCCCCAGAGCCAATACATCTAGGCAACCAAGAGATAGCCAACCTATCAGATGCACAGTTCAAAGCACTGGTGATCAGGATACTCACAGAATTGGTTGATTTTGGTCACCAATTAGATGAAAAAATGAAGGCTACAGTAAGTGAAATGAAGGAAAATGCACAGCAATCCAATAGTGATGGGAAAGAAACTGAGACTAAAATCAATGCAGTGGACCAGAAGGAAGAAAGAAACAACCAAGCAGAGAAGAATGAAAGAACAAGAGTTCAAAAAATAAGGAAAGGCCTAGGAACCTCTAGAATATCTTAAACAGTCCAACATCCAAATTATAGGGGTACCAGAAGGGGAAGAAGAAGAACAACTAGTGGGAAAGTTATTTGAACAAATAATAAAGGAGAACTCCCCCACTCTGGCAAATGAAATAGACTTTCAGGAAGTCCAGGAAGCTCAGAAAGTCCCAAAGAAGGTGGACCCAAGGAGGAACACACCAAGGCACATCGTAATTACATTACCCAAGATTAAAATGGAGAGAATTCTAGAACCAGCAAGAGATATGGGGACAGTCACCTGCAAAGAAGTTCCCATTGGACTGTCAGCTGATTCCTCAAAAGAGACACTACAGGCAAGAAGGAGCTAGAAAGAAGTATTCCAAGTCATAAAATCTAAAGATTTACAACGAAGATTGATCTATCCAGCAAAGCTTTCATTTAGAATGCAAGGGCAGATAAAGCACTTCTCAGATAAGGTCAAGTTAAAGGAGTTCATCATCACCAAGCCCTTATTATATGAAGTGTTAAAGGGACTTATCTAAGAAAAAGAAAATAAAAAACATGTACAGTAAAATAACAGCAAGCTCACAATTATTAACAACTACACCTAAAATAAAAACAAAAGCAAACTAAGCAAACAACTAGAACAGGAACAGAAATGGAGATCACATGGCAGGCTAGCAACAGGGGAGTGGGAGGAGGAGACAGGGAAAAAAGAGAATAAGTAGCATAGACAGTAGGTAGAAAATAGGGGGAGGGCAAGAATAGTATGGGAAATGTAGAAGTGAAGAACTTATGAGACATGGACATAACTAAAGGGGGGAATGTGGGTGGGAGGGGGTGTGCAGGGTGGAGGGGAATGAAGGGGGGAAGTGGGACAACTGTAATAGCATAATGAATAAAATATAGTTTACAAAAGTTTTAATTAAGTTATCTGTTAATACCAAACATTTATACAATGGGCTACAGATTTAAACGAAGTGGACACCCACTCAGTTCTATTGAGAAAACAAGGACCCTTGTTTCAGAGACTCTAGTCTCCAACAAAAGAGCTGGCCATTGAATAGAGGGATTTCTTCCCCTAACTCAGTCAGAGTCAATGGCCATGACTTCAAACATTCAAATAATTACAATGTGAAGTTATGTTTGTGTGAGTGAGTTTAGGCTGCCCAATGAAATATTAATACTGTTAACCCAGAGTCCTTCACAGAAGGGAAGGATTAACATGAATCATTTATTTAGAAATTGGCTCCATCAAATTTCCCTGACAAGATGAAAAGGGAGAAAATGCCAAAAATTGCATGGAGAACCCAGGGTACATCGAAGGGCACACCACAGGGCATGGCTCAGGCAGCCTCCCTTTGTGAGCAAGTCCCGGGCTCACGGAAGCTACTAGTCATTAACACAGGGCCTGAATGGGAGGGGTCAGAGCCTTTTAGGAATCTCTGAAGAGTGGGAAGTACAGCAACGTAATTTTCCTGGCCTGTCATGGAATGTGACACATCCTAATTCTGGTTTAGACAGCCCCTGTTCCCACAGAAAAAGGGCAAACCATGCGGTTCTCATCAGGATGTCTCCAACTCCCCTCACGCAAAGGATGCGTTCTACAGAAAGAACGGCAGGCCTGCACCAGAATGACCCACCGTGGCGGGGATGACAAGGTCAGTGCCCCCGGACCCCCACATGTACCTGGCTAAGGGTAGCTGAAAGCCACCACAGGTCCGACAAAAGTCCAACAGTGCCTTTAAGACAGATGTGAATTTAACAAGAGACAGCAGACAAGGGCCCTTTTGACCTTAAACAATTACACGGCAAACTGGCATGGTCAGTGGACAGACAGGCAACAGGGCCACTGTGAACACAGAGCTCTCCCATGAACAATGCTCTGGGTCAAGGCGGGGGCCACAGAGCTGAAGATAATGAAGTCAGTGCGGCCGTGGGCACTCAGTGTGGAGCCTGTTGATCAAACACTGCAGCTGCTGTGGAATGGAGCGCCCAGCTGTCAGCAGCCTCCACATTCATCCGGAGAGCACTGCTGTCAGAATCCTTTAGGGTAATTTGCAAGAACGTTTCTGCACCTTACAT